GGGGTGAAAAATAGATTTTGAGAGGAAAAAATATACAGGTATTTTTATTAAATAACATATTTGGAAAAATGTATAGAATCTGAACACCAAAAAACAATAATAACTATGCAAATTATTAAACTGGCAGTGTAGGCTGCTGCTTTTGGGTTGTTTTCTGTGCTCCAACTATTTTTTATAAGGCTATAGCCTACCCTTCTTGTTTTGAACTTCATGTGTATTGCATGTTAAACAAGTAATGTAATATGATAACAAGACTGTTTTATTTTGGTAATGATGTGTAGCCAGATATATCAGCGGAGCGCGTGCGATTACCTGCGTCTGTCTTTGAAGTCGTGAAAAGGTTGCCGTGTACCATCATTATAAAGCCACAATATGTATTTTTTCTGCATTTTTCTATGTTTTTTTTTTTTTACTGTATCTATGTTATATATTTCTATTAGATGTGTACTTACATTATCCCGACAGTTTCCACCAACTTTCAAATAGGCCTACAGAGAAATTTATAGTTTAATTTGAAGACACGGGACGTTTCTTTATTTCCGTTTCGTCGCCCGTGTATGGCGTCATATAACCTTTGACTCCTCTATTTTCTCTAACTTCCTTGCGGAACCCGGCGAAACCGCCAAACACAAAGGAGAACACTGGACTACCGCCAATAAAGCAAAGAAAATGACGAAGAAAAAAAAAAGTAGTATTTTATGTGTGTAAATCACGTGCCCGCTCACTCTCAACAGACCCACTGTCCCCGGTGCTGCTCGCGCATAAAGCGCTCCCCGTTCACAGTAACCGGGTCGTCTCATTCAAAACAGCCAACTGTTGCTGTTAGCGAGCCGCGCACATTGAATACTCATTAGGAGTCAGGCTGTGAATGTACGTGCCCACTTCAGCGCGCTCATGCTTACTAAATAAATGCCTCACCTCCGGCGCCGCGCACTCACTACATTCCCTTTAGCCTTTAGCACATAGTGGATGCATAACGCAAACCCAGTCAAACGTTTGACTGCTGTATCTTATGTGCTTTATAATCCGGTGCGCCCTATATATGAAAAATGTTCTTAAATTGGTAATTCATTAAAGGAGCGTAATATTAATATTTATATTCGTCTGTATTGTTGTTATGGACCACGATTACGCTTTGCCTGCACGTTCTGCTGCTACAGCCAGCTCATTACCCAGATAGCAAACTGACATTTAATCAACGTGGAAACAACGTCTCTCATGACATTGAAACAACGTTGATTTTGCTCATCGAATTAACGTTGAACCAACGTCAGATGCGGCATTCTTCAAAGCTAAATGAAAATCGAAAATTGGTTTGCTTTCATAACGTTGAAACAACGCGTTGATTTCAAGTTGATTTTCCGTTAGTTTTGAAAGAATGACGCGTCTGACGTTGGTTCAACGTTAATTCGATGAGCAAAACAATGTCAGATCAACGTTGTTTCGATGTCATATTTCCACGTTGATTCAATGTCAGTTTGCTATCTGGGTAGCTAAAGCTCAAACATACGGGTGAAAAATATAACCCGAGAAGGGTTTGGGACAGGAGAAGCGTGACACAGGTAAACATTGGGGTTGTATTTAAAGCTTCTCGACAAGCTAAATCTACAGAGAGATGCCGTAAATCCGTATATTTTGTGAAACGATGATGTCATGTCATGAGCTGAGCTGGTTGTCATTGACAGCGACAACAACTCCCGTGAGCCCACGCTCTTTCCCGACGTCATCAAAGTACGTCTTTTGTTATTGTTTTAAACGAGTGACCCCTGGTGGCCAAAAATCGCATACTGTACGTTTAACGTTCACGTCACAGGTATTTCCCATAAATGCGCGTCAGCAGCAGCACTGGTCAGCATCCCACAGCACGCGGAGGCCGCGGGGAAATAAAATCACAGAGTCACGCATTGAATCAATGCCATATTGGTATCTAAGTGAAGCATCAGCTTCAGTGCCATGTGATGCATTGCTGCTCAGCTGAGCCTTGAAAAGTGGAACTCAAAGTTAAAAATAATTAACACCTTCATTACATCTCTTTTAATGAATCAGCTTTTTTTGAATGTGTTCGTTGAATGAACGGTTTAATGACTCGCTCAAACTCTGTAGTCATAACAATGTGCGCGCTGAGTGAAAGCCTTTCAATGCACATAGACGCTGTTTAGTTTCGGTTACATTGGTTACTGAAAATGTCATTGTTTTTGTCCACATCGTAAACATATTTATATAGCAACAGATACATATAAATTAAATAAATAAATAAATGGAAATTCCATAACCGACAGCCTTCACAGAAGAACGCGCCAAAGAGAAATGTACTTTTCATACGGATTACATAAGCAGAGAGCAGTCTGTTTTCTTTCGTTTTGAATTGTTCTTTTTAAAAGTAGACATTTCAATATATATTTATTTCTCAGGTCTATAAGCTTATACGGTTAAGATTCACGAGACAAGCTCCAAATACAGGCGCCGGCACCAATGTCAGGATTATCTGTAGGCTAGCTATATTTTCTTCTTATTTATTAAATCCAGGCAATTGGTTGATGAAACATTTATTAAAATTGAGATACAATTAATAAAAAAACGAAATTCAATTTAAAGTAAGTCTTTGTGCTTTCTATTAGAATTCTCTGAAAGTTAAAGTGCCGCTTCCAGAGAACTGTCACGACATTGTTTTTTTTCCTCGAACACGAAAAATAAAACAAAATAAATATTTTATGTTCTGGGGAGAGCTAACCCTTCATCCGGTGGGCAGCCTAGTATTTATTTTGGTTTGTACAGTGTAATTTACAGAATTATAAAAAATATAGGCTATATTTTTGCTACCTAAATATTAAAGGTGTTTTGTGTCGCGTCCGTGTACGCGTGTGTATTTCCTTCATATTAAATATAAAATGCAAGTGTAGACTTGTATTTTTCTAATGTGTGGATGTACTGGATTTTATTAAGGGAGTAGGCTATGGATATATAAACAGAAGTGTCAATATATTGGTATTAAATGCATTTTCTGAGAATGTATTATTTTGATGGATTTCAGTTTTGGCTAATTTAACCTCAACTAGTTTTGTGGTGTAGGTCTAAAAATTTTATAATGTTAACTTCAAATAATATAAATAGTAATTCAAAGATAGCATTGGATCTGGATGGGAAAGATAACTGGGAGGTGGAAGGGGTGTATCGCGATTCTGCCTTCTCACATCGCGATACAGTATCGTGGACCTGAGTAGTGTTGTCACGGTACCAAAATTTCAGTATTCGGTACCAATACCAGTAAAAAATCACGGTTCTCGGTACCAATTTCGGTACCAAAGCTTAGTTTAAATTTACATATATTTAAGTGTTTATCACGGTTACAAGTATGGAAACTGTACATTTGTATTATAAACACTTTAGAAAAAAAATAGATAAAATGACCTAAAATAAACAATAGTATACACTTACACATTTTTAAAGTTGTTTGTAAAGTTCTAATCCGTTAACATTTATTTAATGCACAATGAATGAAGCACATGAACAATCAAGTGTTTCTATTAAATAACATTTACAAACGTTAATTAATGTTGTAAAAATATATTGTTCACTCAATGTGTTGATGTGAATTAAGTAGCTAATGTTGATAAATGGTATCTTATTGTAGCGTTACCAAACTATACAGGAGAAAAAACAAGTTTTATTTGATTTGACTGTACATTCGATATTCGGAGTTCACTATTATGATATCGAATCCTAACATGAGGGTATCGTTATACCCCTAGCCCAAAAGCTACTTAAATGCCCTAATTGATCAAAGGCCTATTCCTGGCTTAATCCAAGCCCTGTCTGTGAAATCAGACCTTTGAGATTAATTAACTTAAAAGTTACTTTACTAGATAGAAAAGGTGGGAATAAACATTTAAAATGTGTAAATTAGTATAAAAACAAACTCAGTATGTGTTTTCTTATTGATTTTGCCAGATCTCCTCCTTCAGTGATGCTCCTCCTCCTCCAGTGAAGCTCCTCCCACTGCAGTTCACCAATAAACGCTGGAATATTCCCCTCAGCTACAAGTGAAGACGAGCATCAAACCATCAGGAAGAGCCAACACAAACACAGAGTTTATTGAAGGACACTGAGAACATGAGATCCAGAACACTGCAGAATGAAACATACTGAAGAACAAAGAGGTTGGTGTTAAAGAGCATATTGCAGGTAAAAAAAAAATCGAAATTTATAGATAACCTTGTATGAAAATACCATATGAAAAGTTAATGCAGGATTTAAAATGTTTTAAAACAACATAAGGGCACTAATTTAGAAGATAAAGTGAGCGTTTCTTGGACTGCTAGTAAAAACCGCTTTTTTTTCAACGTCGCGTCATTTGACGTCATAGCAGGGAGCCGCAGCCTCGGCTCAGTGCAGAGTAGGCTGGTGTTCAGTGAGAGCGCTCGTCAGTCAGTGTGCTTTCGTTAGTTTTTGTATTTTAATTTATCATCGTCATGGTAAATATTGTGTTTGTGGAGATTGCAAAAACTCCAGCCTGTCAGGACTTCAAGATCGAGTCCACAAGTTTCCATTACAATAAAAGTGACTGTGCTATATAGCCTATCTTTCGTTCCTGGTGCGGTTTGAGCAGGTGAAGAGACGGGATTTCTCCTCTCGGCTCGGAAAACACGGTCGTGTGTAGCGTTCACTTCAGATCAAATGATTAGCATCTCGGCAATATGATGGAGTTCAACATCATGTTATGCCGAAGCAAGAATATTGATCGTCGTATAGGCCTACTACCAATGGCATCAAATAGTGTTATATAGGTAATAGTCATGTCATGCCCTAAATAAAACTTGTAATTGAAAAACAAAATTGGTTGTTTAAATACTCAAACCTTTAATGTTCTGTTTATGTTATAACCAAGGTGAAAAAAGATGTATTAAAAATTTACCCGAGTATAGCCTATGCTTTTAGTAGGCTAAAGAAATATACTCAAGTAAAGTTTTTATACATTTAATAGTATATAAATCTACCCTAAACATACTAATGTCTGCTGGCCTGTTATAGGATCATAATAATCTGTACAATATTGTGAGCACAGTGTATATCGTTAGCGAACGTGTATACTATAAGTACGTCTCTCACCTAAAAGGCACCTGTCCTGTTCTCCACTGCTTCTCCTCACATCACAGCTCAATTTTTCTCTGACCATTCTGTCTGACATTATCCTGGCCTGTCCCTGATCTCTTTAGCATAGCAGGCTCATAACTTTATGGCTTGATCCGTCATACGAGTATTTCCTCAGCGTCCGAAATGTCATGCGATCCATTGTTTTCCTGTTGTGTGAATCGACCGCTCTCCCGCTCATTGCGTCACGCCCGCCACGCCCATTTTCAGACGCGGAAGTAAAATTTTCTCACAAAAACGACTGCAGAAGCTTCTGTGGCGTGTTTATACGTATATTTTAAAGAAAATCTAGTTCCTACATTGTTTTTCTATGCATTGACTCGTTGGGTCCTCTAACCTGCAATATGCCCTTTAATTCTTGATTCTTTATTAAAGGCACAGTATGTAAGTTTCGCCACTAGAAGTCGCTTATTCTAAACAAAGCCATAGCTTGATGATGCCGTGAATGAGCGTGGAATCATTGGAGGTCTCCAACCGACCACCGCTTCGTAAGGGCGATCGGCCCCCCGCCCACTGACCGGTCCCCACGAACCCACTATTTGTCCAATAACCCACTATATTTACCAAACGTCCCTTTACCACTCCCGGGCCATGCCCCCGTCCCACAAACCCACTATTTGTCCAATAACCCACTGTATTTTTTTACGTTTTTCCGCAGTTCATTCAATATGCTGCAATTGGACGCGATCCCACCGGCAATCTATTGAATGGGGATTTGTGGGAGTATTTTTGATAGACATTTTAATTAAAGTTTCTGTCGTGATAAAAACTATTTTCCCGCACTCAGGAGACCCCCCCGGGGTCCGTTGCACCAAGCGCCGTCCCAGAATCCACTGTCCACGAACCCACTATTTGTCCAATAACCCACTATTCTTAAATGTACTAACCCTGGCCTTCATGCAATAAGCTGCAATTGGACAGAATCCCGCCTGCAATCTATTGAATGGGGATTTCGGTAGTGTTTTTTTTTTTTTTGGGGGGACATTTTAATTAAAGTTCCTGTCATAATAAAAACTATTTTACTGCACTCAGCTAGGGCCCCTGAGTCCGTAGCACTAAGCGCAGTCCCATAATTCCACCGTCCACGAACCCAATGGCATAAATGCTACGTGGGATCTCAATATCTCAGCTCTGGAAGGGTCTAGAGCCTCCATTTTTGCACTCAGGTCTAAGTCCCATGGCCCTCTATCAGAATCCAGAGTTTCAAGAAGATTGGAGAAACTTATTCTTTCGCACCAAAAAAAACCCACAGGGGTACCACTGTCGTTTTTTTTGGGTCGAAATTTTGAGTTGCTCTGATATAGGCAAGGTCTGCTCTCTCCCACGCACGTTTACCGCTAACCGTTTTATACCTCGACAGTTTATTTGCCAGCAGTTATTGTTCGGCTTAAGCAAAATGTGGGTTTCTATTATACTCCAGCGGCAAAGCACAGCTAAAGCCTTTAATATCCATTTATGAAGATATTCATTTCATATTCAGCGAAATTCATGAGGTAGAAAATGTTATTATAGAGCCCATGAAAGCCAAAATGAACCAATTGAGAAAGAAAGTTTGCATGTGCCTTCTGTGAGCACTGTCTCTCCAACCAAATGTATTTTTTTCCAAAAGGAAGTCCACTGTTTTCATGACCATTGTCTTTTCACACAAAATGACTTGATTATCAGAAAACCTGATTAGCAAAGCCCAACTCATGCCATAGGTTGCAGTGTAGGGCTGCATTTTCATACCTGTAGGTCATTTTCTTTGTTCTGAAGCACGGATTTAATTTTTTACTCGTTCGGTTTGCTTTCACAAGGCAACATTTCAAAGCGTACCAAAATGTGTTTATGCAAGCCACATGTATAAAACAATCCTCTTATTGGTCCGAGTTCAACCAAAGAGTATAGAAGAACAAGAAGCAAAACTCTGATGCTTTTTGTGGTGGTGCTTCAGGAGCACGGCCGCCATTTTGGGGTGAAAATTCCAACTGGAGTTACTGGACAGCAGCATAGATAACAGTTTTTTGAGGTAGTTTTTTTCTTCTAATTTTTCCCAAGCGGCAAAATTCTAATCTGAAAAATGAAGCCTACCCGGAAGTGGGAGAAACTGCAATCCATCGAAAATCTGCTAGGGGTCGGTCCCAAAAGGGGGTGAATATCCATAGACCTCACATTAAAATGTCCGTTTTCACAGCATCAATTCATATATTTACAGTTTGACTTTTATTGTATTTTTCGATAGGTTCTGAGTGCCTGACAACTGTGAGGTGAGTGAATTTTTTCTAACTCGTTAGTTTAGATCGTATTTAGATATAAAATGTATGAAAAATAAGGGCGGTTAACTTTGATTGACAGCTGATAACGGGCTGCGCCGAGTGGAATTGGACGTCTTGGCCATGATCTGACACGACGCATCTCTGTATCCTTTCTGAAACATTTGTATTTCTGAACATTTGTATTTTGTATTTCTCAAGATTTTCTAATATGGCGCCGCCCATACCCCCCATAAACAGCCTCAAACCTGTTCTTCAGAAAGTCTATGAGTGAAAGTCTTTGTCCATTTTTTTTACAGTCTATGGTATTTCCATTGTATGCAACTTTACACATTTACTACTTATATTAGTTACCAACTCCATTAGGCCTGAAATATATTTTGTACGTTTTAATCCCCTGGATCATGCTACAAACATGATGATCATTGATGCGCTGTGTCTGTTATCCTATAACTTTAATTGCCACTTTAAACAGTGGCTGTGTTTTTTTTGTTTACATAGTTTTGTTTTAACGGTCATTAATATAAGATAATACTGCAAAATACTTGTGTTGCAATTGAGCGTTCACTTTTTGTCAATATACGTTCTTTGGTTCAACCGTTTTCATTCCTCAAGATGGACGGAGATAATCGCTCCGCTGGCTTTGTTTACAACTGTCTGCTGAATGTAGCCTTGATTCCTGCTCTGACTGATAAATTAAATATTAAAAAATATATTACATTTATGAAGCAAGTTAGGCTTCGTCAAGACCGCATTCTTGCAACACGGAATCCTGCACACGTTTCTCTTATGAACTGTCTGAGATTCATTCGTTACTTGAAGGGGTATGCATAAGACTAACATGATGTATTATGAATATGAAGGAAGGTTTATGCATGTTTGTGACAACTGTCATTAAGTGTCTTTTGCTCAGTTATGAAAGTTTTAATGCAAATATGACATTGTTTGAGATGTCTTTGTTATGACACCTTGACATTACCAAGCAGGGATGGAAATCAACTCTTTTGTCCACCGGCGGCCACTGTGGATTTCTAAATCGACCAGCCACTCGACGTTTTTACTAGCCACTTTCTTGTTTTTAACCGACAATGTGTAACTGGTAACACTTTACAATAAGGTTCATTAGTTAATGTATTTACTAACGTGCACTAACTATGAGCAATACATTTGTTACTGCATTTGTTCATCTTTGTTAATGTTAGTTCATGAAAACACAGCTGTTCATGTTAGTTCACGGTGCATTAACTAATGTTAACAAGATTTTAATCAAGTATTAGTAAATGTTGAAAATAACATTAACAAAGATTAACAAATGCTGTATATGTGCTATTCATTATTAGTTCATATTAACTAATGTAGTTAACTAATGTTAACTAACGAACCTTATTGTAAAGTGTTACCGTGTAACTGCATGTGAAAGTTAATGTGTATCTACATGTGAGTTAATGAGTAACTGCATGTGAGAGTTAATGTGTAACTGCATGTGAAAGTTAATGAGTAACTGCATGTGAAAGTTAATGTGTAACTGCATGTGAAAGTTATTTAGTAACTGCTGTGAAAGTTGATGTGTAACTGCAGTGAAAGTCTATGTGTAACTACAGGTGAAAGTCGATGAGTAAAGTGCATGTTACTGTTGATGAGTATCTGCAGATGAAGTTTATGAGTAGCTGCAAGTGGAAGTTAATGTGTAACTGCTGGTGAAAGCTATTGAGTAACTGCTTGCGAAAGTCATATGTGTAACTGCGTGTGATAATTAATGTGTAACTGCATATGAAGGTACGAGTAACTTGAGGTGAAAGTATGAGTAACTTGCAAGCGAAGTTAACGTGTAACTGCAGTGAAATGGTGAGTAGCTGTACGTGAAGTTAATGAGTAACTTGCAAGCGAAGTTAATGAGTAGCTGCATGCGAAAGGCAACGAGTAACTGCAGTGAAAGTTAATGTGTAACTGCATGCGAAAGCTAATGTGCGTAACTGCAGTGAAAATCGATATGTAACTGCATCGGAAAATGTCCAGTAGCTGCATGCGAAAGGTAACGAGTAGCTGCATGTGAAAGATATGAGTACTTGCATGTGAAAGACGAGTAGCAAGCATGTGAAAGGTAATGAGTAACTGCAAGCGAAGTTAACCGGTAACTGCATGTGAAAGTCTATGTGTAACTGCAGAGAAAGTTTATGTGGAACTGCATCTGAAAGTTGATGAGTAATTTGTAAGCGAAGTTTATGAGTAGCTGCATGTGAAATGATGAGTAACTGCACGTGAAGTTAATGAGTAACTTGCAAGCGAAGTTAATGAGTAATGGCATGCGAAAGGCGACGAGTAACTGCTTGTGAAAGTTGATGTGTAACTGCATGTGAAAGCTAATGTGTATCTGCAGTGAAAATCGATAGGTAACTGCGTGAGAAAGTTGTTGAGTAATTGCAAGCGAAAGTTTACGAGTAGCTTCATGTGAAAGTTTACGAGTACCTGCCTGTGAAAAATGATGAGTACCTGCATGTGAAATGACGAGTAACAGCATGCGAACGATAATGAGTAACTGTATGTGAAAGTTAATGTGTAACTGCATGTGAAAGTTAATACTGGTAGGTAGGTATGGTAATGTGTAACTGCATGTGAAAGATAATGAGTAACTTTATGTGAAAGTTAATGTGTAACTGCATGTGAAAGATAATGAGTAACTTCATGTGAAAGTTAATACTGGTAGGTAGGTTGGTTTGTGTAACTGCATGTGAAAGTTAATACTGGTTGGTATGTTAATGTGTAACTGCATGTGAAAGTTAAATCTGGTAGGTAGGTTAATGTGTTTTTTTTGTACACATTAATGTGTACATTTTTTTCTGTAAAAGTTAGTGTGTAACTGAATGTGAAAGTTAATACTGGTAGGTAGGTATGTTAATGTGTAACTGCATGTGAAAGGTAATGAGTAACTATGTGAAAGTTAATACTGGTAGGTAGGTTAATGTGTAACTGCATGTGAAAGTTAATACCTGTAGGTAGGTATGTTTGTTAATGTGTAATGTGGGATCACATTATAAAATAAATGTTTTTCTCCAAAACACGTTGGCCACAATTATTCATACCCTTTTATTAAATACTTTTTGCAATCTCTTTTTGCCAAGATAACTGCCCTGAGTGTTCTGCTATAATGCCTGATGTGTTTGGAGAACACCTGACCTGAGATCAGAGACCATTCCTCCATACAGATTCCCAGATCCATGTTGGTGCTTCTTCTCTTCAGTTCGGACCACTTTATTTTCTATAGGGTTCTGGGACGGTCATGACAGAAGCTTAATTTTGTGCTCCCTAACAAATTTTTGTGTTGATTTTGATGTTTGTCTTGGATCGTTGTCCAGATGGAAGATCCAACCATGGCCCATAATAAGATTTCTAGCAGAAGGTGTCAGGTTTTGATTTTTTTATCTGTTGATATTTAATAGAATACACAATGCCATGTATCTGAATAAGAAGTCCAGGACCTCCTGCAGAAAAATAGCTCCCCAACATTAAAGATCCAATGGTTTATTAAATTGTAGACATGGGGTACTTTTTATCCTCATGTCCACCAAACTATCTAGTGTGCTTACTGCCAAAAAGCTATTTTTTTAGTCTCATCTGACCACAGAACCCTGTGCCGTTTTAAGATCCAGTCATGTCTGACCACTGAATATGCTGGAGTTTGTTTTTGGAGGAGTGAGGAGGATCTTTCTTGAAACCCTCTCAAACAACGTGGGGATGTACGGGTTGTTTGATAATTTTTTTTAATGCTGGTAGGTAGGTTAATGTGTAACTGCATGTGAAAGTTAATACTGGTAGGTAGGTAAGGCAAGTTTATTTATATAGCACATTTCATACACATGCACATATTTCATGCTTAGAGTGAACCCTTGGTGTTTCTAGCTGATGTGAGTGATCTAGGTAGGTAGGTTTGAATAAGCATAAAAAAATGATTTGTGTAACATTTCCATTAGTTTTTAAAGTGCCTACTAGGCTGTTTTTATTTTGCAGCTCTCCTACAACAGGTTTACATTAACCCAATGTCAAAAGCACTATTTTACTCATACTGCACATCACTTCATTTCTCAAAGAGAAAAACATTTGAAAACATTTGGACCCTCCCAAAAGGGATGAAATTGATAGTTTTGGGGGTTAGTAAGAATAATAATTAGTAATTGAGTTGGCTACACAGATTTGTGTTCACTTCAGTAGTGATAATTCAGTGAGTTCATCTGAGTCGCATTGATCTGTCACTGCTCATCAGTAGCGGAGTGGCAATCGGGAGAGTCGGGAGTTTTCCCGGTGGGCCGGTGTTCTGACACCGGTAGTGTTTCGAAGCCGCGAGGGCCGGCCCGGCCCGGCCCGGTCTGATAAAATGTATTTATTGGAAGTTCGCCATGTCCCAAGCTAAGGGAAGAAAACATTTTTTTTTGTTTTTACATTTTCTACAACGGAGCATTTGAACTAGTGCCTGTCTTTACAGGAAAAAAACGACATCCGTATTGAAACAGTCTCAGTGGCGTGGGTCGTAGGGCGTGAAGTACTTGACAGCAGTTTTTTGAAGCGCTGAACGCGAGTTCGAATCCGCCTTGCCGAACTCTCTCTTCTCCCTTTTCGAAACACAGATTTGTAAAGATATAAAATGTAAAACCTAACATTAAGGTCTCTCTAGCATTATATTTTGCCAACGAACTAAAATTGAAACCATGTTATGGCGTTGCGCCATTATAATAACTGACATTAGAATAGCATCCAGTTTGTGCTGCGTGATTACTTTGCTCACGCGATCATCATGGTCAGGCTGCTGGTGTTTTCTCCTAAATAAAAGCTCAAGGGTTTATTTCTTGCAAGTGAAGAAATTAGGACAAAAGTATTTTAATTTTCCTAATGTAGGTTAAAATATACTTTTGAAATATTCATTTTCATTTACATACATTTATAGGCTATAAATGGATTTTACAGTACGTCATAGGAATAATTATAAATCATTATTACATTATTATAATAATTGTTTGGCATCCTAAAAATCCATTGATAATGTAATGCAGACTGAGACTCTCATAGCTAAAAATATGTTTGAGCCCTTTACAAGCCCATTATAACTAA